CGAAATCGTGGGCATGACTGATGAGACGAAGACAAACTATGGATCGAGTTACACCAAACACGTTGCCTGCAGCGTTGGTAACTTGGACTTGGAGGAGGAAACCCACAAGGCCAGGCACGTCGAAAGTCTGGGCTGGCCCGGGCGTCTGCTCGTCACAGGGGTTCGGCGTACAGTGTTAGCTCTGTCAGGCGCTAACTGTCTCCAGCCGGGGTGTCGACCGGGTCCACTCCCGCAATCCATTGACAGCAGTCACGCCCGGGCGGCGCCAAGTGCATGACACCTCGATACAATCGTTCTCTTAATACCCACTCCTACTATTTCTACTAGCTCTTTTAGCTCTTTTATTATTTCTATTATTTCTATTCTTTCTATTACTTCCTGAATATTCTATAGAGAATATACTTTTGAAGGTAGTAAAAGTAGAAGGGGATGTGCTAACCGGCATTATTTTCCATCACCTATATTAACAGCGCCATTAGCGACGCTCATTAAGGATTCGAGAAGTAAGCGTCCCATGGGCGTTTTTGATCCACTGTCACGAACTGGTACAGCAAAGAACCCCTCCAGCGGGCTACATGTCAACTCGTGTCTTGAGGTGGTGCGTGTGGCTGGCTGTCTCCTGTCTATCAGTCAGTCGATTAGCGAGTTGGTGCGTCTATTTGAGCCCGTTGGGATACTATGGACGGCGATATTCTGCACTATGTTAGTAGTTCTAGACCGACCTCGCCGATTGCGACGTGCCGAGACAGGCTGCACGGCTGAGGCTCGACAAGAGAGACTCGAGAAGAAAGCAAAGAAGAAAACAGACCCCTGAAGAGCAAGCCCCATTATCCTTGCCATCTTTCCGTTCGACACTACCAAAATGAGTCTAAGAGGCCAGGGGAGGAGGGGCACAGCTCCGTACAGGGCGTCGAGAACAAGGGAGGGGGTAAGTGGAGGTCCAGGTCGGTCCCCTAATGGGGCTTGGGGGCCGCTACCGCCCGCAATGGATCTGTTCCTGTTGGAGAAAATTAAAATAGCAAAGGCGACTTTTTTTTTTCTCGCTCTCTTTCGCAGTAAAGAGGACCCGAACCTTTTTCTTCCCCCCTTGCCCTGACTATACGGACGGACGGTCGGCTACGGCTACACAGGGCGAGATCGCGCATCTGCTGTTACTTGCTGTTACCGGGATACTGTCTCCACGACCCTTAGCTTCCACCTGCCATTAGGCACGGAGTACTGTGTAAACTTCGAGAGCCCTGGAAAGTGTCTACTTACCTTACGAATGCCCGACTCTCTGTGGTTCGTAGAGTACGTACCTTTTTTACTGAGGTGGGAAAGAGGGACGGACACCTTTCCCCATTGTCGGCCGACCCTCTTCTCTTAGCCTCGTACATTTCGCAAGCCCTCCTTCTCCAGCATCACTTCTTTTCCTTGTCTATTGTGACGTGCTGGACTGAATATTGTAGATTCGCATTTCCTGCATTTCTTCACTTATTGGTGTTCTTCCTCTTGCAACACAAAGCAGACCGTCCTTCTTTTCTTCGGTTGTGGTGCTGCAGTCTCACCGCCACAGTTCCACCTAAAAGCTTCGAGAGACATTGCCATCGTTGGCGACCCATTCCCTCGATCCCTTCGGACCTTTGCCCGCCTTGCGACACTTCTCTCGTCGTCCCACCACTCGCTTTCCGCAGCCGGTAAATCGCACCTCGACTAAGTGAAGCTCCAGCTGTTGATCGTAGCAAGTCGATACAATGGCCACTCAGACCAAGGCAGCCGCCAACGGCGCTGCTGCTAACGGCGACGTCAACCACGAGCCCATCAATGTCATTATCCCCATTGGCGGCATTGGTTCCCGTTTCGCAAAGGAGGGCTACCGCTACCCGAAGCCCCTGATCAACATCGTCGGCCGGCCCATGCTGCTATGGCTGATTGACAACCTGAGCCTCAAGCCTGGCGACACCCTGTGGATGGCCATCAACGAGGAGGTCGACGACGAGTTCAGAATCGGCCAGCTCGTGAGCAAGACCTTTTCCAAGATCGACTTCAGACTCTTGCGCTTGCGCCACCAGACCAAGGGTGCCAGCGAGACGGTAAGCATTCCCCTGAGCTTCTCCCGGATCTCTTCTTGCTCTTTTACCGGCGCTCTGCCTCTTCCGCCTTTGCGCGATTCGCAAGGAGGGGCAAGGCCGGGCTTGGAAGTGCATCGCTGACGATCCTTCATAGCTCTTCATCGTCACCCAGAGCATGACCAAGAAGCACCTCGAGCGCAAGACTGTCTCTCTCGACTGCGACACCATCTACTGGGCCGATGTCCTCCAGGACATTCGCAACATGCCCAAGGGCCACGGCGGCTGCTTCTACTTCCCCGACATTGGCGACAAGCCGATCTTCTCTTACATCAAGACAGAACCCAAGTGAGTGTCCACCGGGCGCGAAGCGCGAGCCACTATTCGCCAAAAGGCAATTTCTGACAGATGACTACTACAGGGATGGTTTAGAGCGCATTGTCGACATCCAGGAGAAGAAGGCCATCTCCAACAAGGCAAACACGGGCGCATACGTTTTCCCGTCCGCTGGCCAGCTCAAGTCATGGGCTGCCCATAACCTCGACATGAAGAGGCCCGACGGCTCAGAGGTCGGCGAGTATTACACATCCCAGATGATCGCCCTCATGATCCAGAACGGCGTGCCGTACCTGGGCATGCCTGTCAGCACCAAGGACTTTAGCGTTGTTGGCACACCCGAGCAGCTCAAGGACCTCCTGAAGCTCCTCAAGACCGATACTTCCAACCTCCCTATTAAGCTGAAGAAGCGCCGCTTCTGCTTCGATCTCGACATGACCTTGGTCGGTGTGCCTGCGGTGGCCGGAGACTACTCCACCTGCCCTCCCATCGAGAAGAACATTCGCCTCGTCCAGCAGCTGTACAACGCTGGTCACTACATCATCATTGTAAGTCGACTCTTGGCGCTTGGCGAGCAGAGAGCAGATCATGGCTCCCTGCATTTTCCAAGACTTTGTGCTAACTTTTAAATAGCAAACGGCTCGCCGCATGCGCACGCATCACGGAAACTTGGGTTCAGTCCTGGCCGACGTCGGCCCTGTCACCTTTGCCCAGCTGGCCAAGTACGAGATTCCATACCACGATATCCACTTTGGCAAGCCCTACGCCGACGTCTACGTCGATGACCTGGCTGTCAACGCCAACCTCGATACTATGCGGGAGATTGGCTGGCTCTTGGACGAGCAGGACCCGGCTGCGCTGATCGGACAAGATGCAGCGACGGGTGACGACGCGAAGAAGGCCGGCATGATTGCCGCACGCGATTTCAACACCATTCAGATCATTGGCGATAAGGTGATTAAGTCGAGCAAGTCTGAGAACATTCTTGGCGAGCTCTTCTTCTACTCCCACATGCCCGCCGAGATCGCCCAAGTCTTCCCCACCGTATTTAACGTGGACTACATTCCCGACACCACCACTTACAACATCACCATGGAGAACCGCCGCGGTCTGACCTTCTCTCATCTCCTGGTCGGTCGATCCATCACCAAGGGTCGCCTGATCTCCCTTCTCAAGGCCCTCCACACCGTCCACACCACTGGCAGCACAGACAAGGCCACGCTCAAGATCCCTAGTGCACTGGAGAAGAAGTTTGAGGAGCACTCCCTCGCGCGAGCGAACAACCGCGTCAACATCTACGCAAACTACGGCTCGAAGCTGCGCAGCCGTTACTACAAGGACCAGCAAAAGTATGATGCACTTGGTCCCCTTGCTGCATCTCTCTTCGCCCGTATCAACGAGTTCCTCGACACGTACGAGGCTGAGGAGAAGGGCGTTCACGCGCAGGTCATTCACGGTGACCCGGTCTTCAGCAATGCCATCCTTTCCAAGGACGAGAAGTTTGTCAGCTTCATCGACGTGCGTTGCCAGCTGGAGAACACCCTGACGCCTGAGGGCGATATCCACTACGATTTGGGCAAGGTTCTCCAGTCCCTCTGCGGCTACGACCACATCCTGTTCATGAGCGCAAACAACTATGACTTGCGCGACGCTCTCGACAATGACAAGCCCCTCCTCGACGAGGCCGACTCAGACCTGCTCGAGAGCCTCCAGGAGCATTTCTTCACGTTCCTCGAGGAGACGTACTCTGTCCGCCTGCACCGCAAGACCCTCTTCCGTATTACCGCCTCCCTGTTCTTCAGCTTGATTCCCCTGCACCGACCCGAACTCGGCGCTGTCTTCCTGCGCATGTGCAAGGAGACGCTCGACAAGGCGAGCAACATCAACTATGGCCCGGGTGCGCGATCCACGGCAGGTCTCACGCTTAGTCGGCGCGCGAGCTCCAACTTTGGCTCCGATGAGAAGGCCCGCGAGATGCCCATTGCCTCGGGCAAGGGCGAGAACCTCTCCATCCCCAGCGTCACCGTTACTGCGAAATAAGCATGTGTACTGTCGGCAGCGTCGCGTAAATACTCTGAAAAGCCAAGCCAAGCCGCTCGATTCGCGGGCTATAATGTGCCGAGTTATCGGAAAGGTGGAGGTGGGGTTTGCGATGGCGGGGGTGGAGTTGCATTGATGTCATTCGGGATAGAGCTTCCGTGAAAGAAAGCGGAGAGCTCATGTGGAGCCCTTTTCGACACGTCGCGTCGGAAGCCAACCGAGAGCGATCGATAGTGTGGGAACGGGAACAAAGCAGCATTTGCTTCAAAATTGTTCGTATTGCGTGCGTATAGGGAGGAAAAGGAGGGAAGCGTTTTGATCGGGTTTTCCACTGCAACTTGTAGGGGGTGTTGTTCAGCGTCGGTCTATGAGGGTCATGTACTACTTACTATACCAAGAAATCAAGAAATCTTACATCAAAGCTGGGCCTCTCTTTATAGAGATCATGGTGAGGAAATGTGTGGCTTTTGGCGTGGTTGATGTCCCGCGTGCCATAGATATTGGCAACTCAAGCGTTGATGGTAGATTCTGCTGCGGAAGAACAATTCACAATCACCAAGAAGACTCCGTGATTAATTGGGGAATGGTAATGTTCGCTATCTACGCTCGGCAGAGCAGGGCCTGCTCACCCAGGTACTCCCATCTACTTTCTGCTCGATTGAGGCCAATTCTTCTCCTGACTGACCCGGAACTAGAAACTTGATTCTCCCGCACTCTCCTTCAACCGCCAACCGTGCTCGCCTCCCCCATCGCCACCTTTCCATCGTCACCCTTCCATCCCACTTCTGCCAATCGTTGCCTGTCGGAACCTCTGGTGTGCACACTCAGATGTACCACATGGTGTTCTTGAGCATGTCAGCTGCCTGGGGGTCAGCGTCAGGGCCATTGCCACCCAGAGGCAGCAGGGGAAGGGACTCGGTAGGACGCTCGCCCTCGAACATGCTAAGACCGCGGGCGCCTCGGTCATCGACCATCTCCGCCGCCTTGGGACCGGAACGGAAGCCCTGAGATGTAGCAATGTTCTCGTGTGCACGAGCACGGCCGCATGCGAGATCGGCGTAGTAGATAGCCGGGTGGAGAGAGACGGGGGTCGTCGAGCGAGCGTACTGGTAGCATTGACCATAGATCATCCGCTGGAGATCGTTCGGGCTCATCTTGGCCTCGTCCACCAGAACGGTGTAGTGCACAGGTCGAGCAGTTCCCTGGATGGCCACGTGGGAACACATGTAGAAGTCCCACCAGAAGGGGTGGCAGACCTCCTTCTCGAGAACAGTTCCGGGGAGGGGGTTGCCGTTCTTGTCACCCGTCTGGGGGAAGAATCGAATGTGATGGCGCTTGGTAGCCACAATGACCGTCCACTTGGGCTGCTTAGCAGTGGGGTAGATGCTCTTGATGATATTCTTCATCGTTCCGACCTCGTATTCCAACACCTGTGAGTACTGGCCCTCAGAGACACCGTCGCGGAAGTAGACGATGTGGGGAGGAGGCGCAGGGTGGCCCATACGCTTGTGCCAGGTGGGCATGAGACGACCAAGGAAAGTGCGGGCACTAACTGGAGAGAGCATCTCAACACGGTAGCCGTTGGTCTCAACAGCGGCCGAGTAGAAAGTGGCATCGGCATCCATCGACATGGTCATCGCCGCCATCGAGGGAGCGTCGATTCCAGGGGTCGCGTGGGAAATATCCACTCCAATCATCATGGTGACTTCCTTGAAGAACGGGGGGCTCTTGTTAGAAGGACCAGATGGGTGAGGGATACGGCAGGTAACCCCTCCAAGCTTCGCGTTGACCTTCATGGCCACGTTGGAATGGTACTGGGCCTGGTTCTTGTCGACGTGGCGGGAAAGGACGCACTGAGTGAGCAGGCCGAATCGGCAATCGGCGGACTTCTTGATTCGCTCGTAAGATCCAACATTGTTGAATCGCAAGATGCAGAAGAGCAGCTGCGGGGTGGCTTTAGTCTTCGCCTTGATCTGGGCATACGCCTTAGCAACTGCATCAGCGACATTGTTGTTGCGTGCCTCGCTATCGATGACAACGGCGTCCTTTGCGATCTTGCCTCCATGGCCAGTGTACGTCTGCTTGAACGTCTGCGCAAAGTTCTGGGCATTGGCCTTGCTAGTGGAATTTTCGAGGATCACGATACCCCAGGAGGCCAGGGGAACACGGTTGGGAACCCAGAACTTCTTGCCGCGCAGATCCCAGCGACCGGCGAACATGGGACTGACGACATTGTTGGCGTACTGGATCTTGGGGGGCTCAAGCAGACTGCCCTTGGTCTTGGCCATCTGGTCGTCAAAGACGACACCGTACTGGCGGAGGTAGGGGTCCTCCTTCCACGCCAACTGGTTCTTGGCGTTGATAATGTCCGCCTTGCGCTGGGTTGGGCGGGTGACCGCAGCCTTGATCATTGCAGAGGTCTGATCAGGGTCAAGCTTGTAATTGTACCGCTGCATGGCCGCAACGACACAGACCTCCATGGGGAAGAAGCCGGCCTTGGCGGTCTCAACAACAGGCCAGTCACGGAACTGAACCTTGTAGCCGTAGGTCTTGTCGAAGTACTTCGTGATGTTCATCTCCTCGCCATTGTTGTTGAAGACGATGCTGTCAGTAGTAGCACCACTCTCGCCGTAGGTCGGGCTGAATGCAAAGCCCTTGATGGTGTAGACCTTGTTCCAGTTCTCCTTGCCGCGGTGCTTGGGGGAGAATCGAAGCTTTGCCAGCTTCCTAAGATGCTTGAAGGCATCCGACATGGTGAGCACCGTCTTGCCGTTCTTGTCCTGCTGGCGCACTGGCTTCAAGATCTTGGCGATGTCCGGCGGGGACAGACCTTGCCATTTGCGGTCGCAGGTACCCAGGAAGTCCCTGACGAAGACATGCAGCTGCTTATCTCCCTTCCAGAATGCCGTGTTGGCAACGTCGACGTTCAGACCGAGCCCACGACCAAGCTTGTTCATAACCGATTGATTCATCCGGACCGACGAGTAGACACCCTTGACAACCTCCAAGCAAGGGCCAAGGTCCATGGCCTTCCGATCGCGCTCGTTGTAGAAGTTGCGCTTGATAGAGAGAAGGTTCTCACTGGGGTACTGGCGAACCAGGTGGTCGAGGAAGTTCATGCACTCGAGCACAGTGTTGTCCCAGTCCATCTTACCAGTGAGGTAAGCTTCAAGAGCGGCAAGGTTGATTTTCTTCGTCTCCTTCATTACGAAGAAGAAGGAGTTGTCGCGCGGCTTGGCATTGGGACGGACCGGCTTGCCCTCGTCGAGGTCAACCTTCAAGCGTTCCTCGCCACGGTTGATAGGAGCCGAGGACCTATGTTTGTGTTAGAGACAGTAGATAATTAGAATAGAATAACTTACCAAGCCAACTTGCGTCCATCCTGCAACCAGAGGGTCTTGTACTTCGCCAGCATGGCCTGGACAGGCGGGGAGTCCCAGACCTTCTTGAAGACGACATTGTACTTCAGGGGCACGGGCGAGATGGACACATCATACTGGTAGATGGTCATCTTGTCGTTCCACTGCTTGACGCGGAACTGGTTGACCTCCAGGTTGATCTCCTTGCCAGCGGTGTTGAAACCGGGTCTGCGAACGAAGGGAGTCTCACCAGCGTTGAGGTACGACTCCGGGGGAGGGTCGATGCGGGAGTTGATGTGGTCCTTGTTGGGACCGCCATCGGGCTTCGCGGGGTCGAAACCCATGGAGGGTCCGAAGCCATGCTTGGGCGAGGACTGGGATCCCGAGCCAGATCTGCCGGGGCTGCCAGGATTGCCAGGGCCACGGCTGGGGGAACGACCGGCGGAAGACATGGTCGCTGCGTTTGTGGAAGTTGGGTTGTCGTAGTGTAGTGAGTGATATCGCTGTTTGTAGTCAGTATCTGAATGCTGAGATAGATGATGTTGAGAGGAAGAGGTTGAGATTTGAATTGGAGGAAGAGAGCCCTTTTTGTAGCTGCCTGGGCAACTGACAAAGGGATCCGAGGAAGGAGGTAATCAGAGATGAATAATCTGGGGAGAAGAAACGAACTTAGAGAGAGGGAAATAATCTGGAGCGCAGGAATCGACGAGGGAAGGGACGGGAGATGTGGAAGGAGATGTGAAAATGGAAGCTAGGGTCTTTCTCTTTCAATTGAGGAGGGATGTATGGGTAGGGTACCTTGTTTGAGTTGAAGTAGGTTGAGATTGAGATTGAGTTGTGATGTGATGTGTGTGTGTGTGCGTATGGAAGACGAAGAGATGGGTTGGCAGAAGAGAGAAGAGGCCTTTTTGTAGACCTGGTAGAGGAGGTGTCAAGCTTCTGAGGAAGGAAGCAGCTTGTGAAATTGGGGAGGAAGGTATGGCAGCAATATTATTTGCATGTGTATCTTGGTGATATGTATAGCATGTCAAGCATGAATGTGTTGTGAACTTACCTGAGTTGAAGGTTGAAGGTGATGAAGTTTGTGATTGTGATTGAATTGTTTGTAAGTATGTGAGTATAAGTGTGAGAGTGAGTGATGTGTGTGTGTGTGTGAAGAAGAAGAAGAAGTCTGGAGGTTGGAGGGTCGAGAGGCGGGTTTATATAGCCTCCAGAGAAGAGGGCGAGATCTGGAGATCAGCTGAACGGTTCTGAGACGGTTCTGAAGAAGGAGCAGGAGGAGAATGCAGCAAGAAGGATCGGAAGGCAGGTAAAATGAGAGATATTGGGATCTAGGACATCAGAATTTCACTTTCAAACCATTTGGTTACATGAACATGATCAAATTTTCAACTTTGAGGCCGGTTCGCATCTAGATATCAACACCCAGGCCACTACAGACATGCCGTATTTGGGCCACAGGGAAGGAACACTGAACATACGGTTCAACCAAGACGCCCAGATGGTCGTCAAGGCGGTGAGAACGCCAGCATGAACGCCAGCATGAATGCCATCATTTAGCGTAATGACACGGCGTGATAGCAGGAATAAACAGCATACGGTGGTGATGAAATTCATTAAACAATGGCATTGATATCAGCTATATACGATCCGAATATGTCATCAACGGTAAGCTACACAACACCTATGAGCATCAAAGCCAGACTCGTGAATGATGCTACAACGTAATAATCATATCAAGACCTTTAATACACCAGAAACCAGGGCCCAAAACAAGGCTCAAGCCTGGAAAAAGGCCCAACTTGTCAAGGACGTGAGACCCTCGGAAAACCAGCACGTTTACACACAGCCTGTGATCAACTGAAGTCAACATACAGGACTGGCATTGACTGAATATTCGTTGGCTGAAAGGTGCTACCGGTCTATTACTCAAGGAAGGCATGACCGTCAGGCATGAGGCTGCTCGTCTACTTCAGAAATGCTTCAGAATGCCTCATGATGATGACGAAATCAAGAACAAAATATCGGCTCATCCAAAGCCCCCAAGAAATCCACCATAGCTTGCGTGAAACCACCCGGCTTCGCACTTGTAACGGAGCTCATCAGTCGACCAGCGATGGACGATATGGCCATCGTGTCTCTGGTGATTCGCTAAGGTCTCACTCCATTATTCGATAACCAGACGTGGACAGTTCTCTCCCAGAGTGCCCATGATACACCTGTGGTCTGTTCCCATATTTGATGAGGTGGCAGGTCTGCAATCACCACGAGCAATGCCAGTCACCTCGAAGCCTGGTCAACAACGAAGCCTTCCACGTCTATGTGAGGGCGACGGACTGGTAATCTCATGAGCAACAGAGTGTGATTATCAAGCTAAAGGCCCCCAACTTGCCCGCGATGTGCGTAACTGCCGTCAGCAATTGCCAGCAAGCATGAGGTACACCAGAATAGAAGAGGTGACCGAACATGATCATCACTAAACAATCACACGATAAGACACAGGAGAAAAGAGAGTGTTGTCTCAAAAGCAGATTTCTTGACTACTCAAGCGGCCAGCTAACCAAACTAGGCGACACCTCAGTGCTGGTATCCCATGCAGCTGTCCGCCATCCATCCCCATTCCCAAATTTTTCTTGTGAACGAGCCATCGAACGCAATGCCGTGGCGTATGCTTTTTGACAAAATAGTGCGCACTGCTTTCGCGAGCAGTACGAGTGAAATATCCGCCGCCCTGAACGCCCCTCGTAATGCGGAGCCCCTTGAAGTTTTTGTATTATACAGAACACTGATGTCGCAGACTTTGCGACCAATATTCCCTTGAGGAACGAGAAAACGAATGCCCTCGAAATCATGAACCAAAGCTCAAGAGGAAGGGTACAACATAACGTGCCGAGCCTCCCAATGTTTGATGAGCCACCAAATACCGACTACTGTGGTCGGCCGAGTCTGTGAGAGACATCGTAATTAAGGCCAAACCCTTCGGAAACCGGCCCCTGAATCCAATCGTCAGCTCCAAGATCAATACTGATATCTGCCATATTGCTGTGCTGGTGCTTGGCCGTAACCAGCAGGCGCTTGCGGTGCCCAAGAAGCGTTCGCATCAAAGGAAGCCGCTGGTGGATACTGTCCCTGCTGCGGCAAGTCCTGTCTGTATACAGCAGGGTCGGCATTTCCGCCACTGGAACCAGGTCGGAGGGGAGAGCTCCTGTATCCGGATGATGCCAGGCGCCTACCCGACCCATCGTATGGGTCGAGGGCTCTCTGGGGCGAGTTTCGTCCACTCTTTCCGTACCCAGCGTAGTCACCAGATGCCTGTCGGCTGTGGGAAGGGGGTTGCATACCGTTGTTTTGTCGAGCGCCGAGCTCTTGTTGGGTTTTCCACGCGCTGTAATCGGGCACAGGAGTGTCGCGAATCAGACCAACGAGATTGGGCGCGCTCAGACGGAATGCATTGGGCGAGTGAGCGTAAGCGTGAGTCGGCGGCAGAATACCCAAGAGGAAAGTGATGTCTCGGGAAAGGGGTGCTCCCTGGTTGCGTCTTTGCTGGTCAAGGCGACGACCCGCGGCACCCTTGAGAGGCGATTCTCCTCTGGCGAGCTTTCGTGGCCTGTTGAGCTCTTCATAATCATCGCCTGCGAAGGGTCTCTTTGGAGAGTTTGTGACGCCCATGTACTGCGGGCCCGGGCTGGCCGTCTGACGAACCGGCAAGGCCATCGGTGATTGTCGAACTGAGGTCGGCTGCTCAATGGTTGGGATCAGCATCTTCGGCCGCAGTTGAACGGCCGGCGAGATGATAAGGCGGTAGGCGATGGGATCGAATGTGTCTACTGAGAAACGATTTGCAAAGCGTGAAAGTCTGGGATCAGTAGGCCAGAGTTCCGACATGCGCTTCTCAAGCTCGGCAATGGAGGAGAGCTCCCCAAACTGCGATTCGTACTTGTGGAAGTATGAGTAAAGTTGCTTTGCCTGGTCCTTCTTATCATCTTTCTGCGTGAGACGGTTGACGCAGGTCTCGAAAACAACACGAGCATCTATGGATGGGTCAGCATGAATCCATTTGAGTATGAGAGGAGCCGGGACTCACTTGTCGTGTCACCCTTGGAGTGCAAGAACTTGAGGTACTCGAGCATGAAGCTAGCATCCTCGGGGAAAAGCTTTGCACCGCGGTCAAAGATCTTACCACCGGCCGGGTCGTTGTAGATAAGAGCCTCCATCTTCGCAACAGCGATGTAGACGTCGCTGGTGAGCTGACCGCGGCCACGGGCCTCAATGAACACTTGTCGAAGGCCCGAGGTCGTGTTGCCCTTGCCTTGTGTCCTCCTAGCAGCCCGACAAAGCGCGATCCACACGAATGAAATAGTGCGCTTGAGCATATCCGTCTGCACCGAGAATCCCTGCTTCACTGCGTTGATGCGCTCGTCCTTTCCAAGTTCACCGGGCTGGTTCTCGCCGTCGATATCGTCGTCGTTGCGTTCGATCGAGTCCTTGATGTTAGGGTCTTGGGCCGAAGCTTCCTCGATCTTGCGAACCTCCTTTTCTTCCCGCTCCTTGAGCTTCTTGGACATGGCGTACAGAGTGTCGAGGACGCGACTGTAGGGCTCCCTGATCGCCTTGGCGCGGGCTGCCTTGCTCGCATCATCGTCTCCGGCCGGGTAGGTCGTTTCCACGCGGTCTCCATGTCTGAGCGCAAGCAACACGCTTTCGGGGTTGGCCTCAATGCCGTCTGTCAGGAAAGACAGGCCCAGTTCCTTGCCATCCTTCGCAATGTTGTTGGCGAAGCACCACTCTGCTGCGTCCACCCACATCTCGGGCCAGAAACGAAGAGCCATCAACGCTTGCCTGTAGCAATACAACACGCGAGTTTTATAGGCCTCAGGCTCTTCGTCCAGAAGAACCAGCGGATCCTCCTTCTCCCACTGAATCCACTTCTTCCAGATATCGACCTGCTCCATGAATTCCTGGTCGCCATAGAAGCCTGACGCAGGGGGCAGTCGAGGGAGTGACGTCCGCGAGAGCCTGGGAATCAACCGATCTAGCTGAGAGTTTGCAGCCTTGGCTGTCATGTAGGCAGGTGATCGCTTCTGGATGAATTGGCGGCCCTTGTTGTGTCGTTAGCAACAGTCATTCATCTACTAAGGGAACACGAAACTTACAGTGGTTTTGTTTAGGCTCATTTCGAACTGGTCGTAGTCCTTCCACAGATCCGTAAGCGCAAACATGGGAACTGTGATGGCGCGGTGGTAGGCTTTGCGCAGCTGGTCCATCTTCTGTTGATCCTGCCAGCCGCTGCCTCCGACCTGACCTGGGCCACTCTTAATGAATTGGATATAGTCCTTCCATAGCTGACCCGAGTCACGATCAATGCCAACGGAAGCAATCACAAAATCGTAGGACA